GCCAACAAGATACTTCATTATCCGTTTCACCACCGTTAAATGCGATTCTTTCGGACAAGATTGATACCTTGCACATAAACAAACGCTAAACATGATATCGGGTCTACTAGCGGTAAGATAAAGAAGGGATCCGATCATACCTCGATACTTCTTTACGTCTACTTCCTTACCCTTTTCATCTTTTTCCAAGTGCTCGGAGGTGCTCATTGGGGTAGCCATTGCTTTGGAGCCATCCATTTCAAATCTCTTTAGGAGCTCCTTGCAATACTTTGATTGACAAATGAAGGTCCCTTCCCTCATTTGTTTGACTTGTAACCCCAAGAAGAAATTGAGTTCCCCCATCATGGACATCTCAAATTCATTTGTCATTAAGTTTGAAAATTCCTTGCACAAAGATTCGTTAGTAGCACCGAATATAATGTCATCTACGTAAACTTGCACCAAGAGGATGTTATCGTTTTTACTCTTGATAAAAAGTGTAGTGTCAACCTTCCCCCTTTTGAACCCGTTGTCCAAATGAAATTTGCTCAAACGTTCATACCAAGCACGAGGTGCTTGTTTAAGACCGTAGAGTGCTTTCTTTAGTTTATAGACACACTCCGGGTGCTCAAAATCCTCAAAGCCCGAGGTTGATCAACATACACTTCCTCTTGAATAAAACCATTGAGGAAGGCACTCTTAACATCCATTTGGTATAGTTTAAAATCCATAGACGAAGCAAAAGCGAGTAATAAACGAATAGCTTCTAAACGTGCTACCGGTGCATAAGTTTCTTCAAAATCAATGCCTTCTTCTTGATTGTAGCCTTTAGCTACAAGCCTAGCTTTGTTTCTAGTGATTATTCCATTTTCATCGAGTTTGTTACGGAACACCCATTTCGTACCAATTATGGTATGATCATCGGGTCTTGGCACCAATTCCCAAACGTCATTTCGTTTGAATTGGTTAAGCTCCTCTTGCATTGCCAAGGTCCAATGTTCATCATCAATTGCTTCCGAAATGGTTGTAGGTTAAATTTGAGAAACAAAAGCCATGTGACCTACGGTGTCCCTGAGAGAGCTACGAGTACTTACCTTTCGGTTGATGTCACCGATCACCTTGTCAAGAGGATGGTTCTTTGAAGTCCTCCATGCCCTTGGCATTGGTGTTTCCTCCTCTTGTGGTTGTTCCTCGTTTACGGGTGGCTCTACTTCTTCATCTTGGCTTTCCTTTGAGTTGTCTACTTTGTCATCGTCGTAGATGTTTTCCAACGAATCTATAAGATCATCACAAGAAACCTTTCTCGCCAAGAGAGCATCATTTTTGGCGAAGACAACATAAGGAGATTCCTCAACGGTTAAGGTGCGTTTGTTGAAGACTCTATAAGCCTTACTACGCAATGAATAACCAAGAAAAATTCCTTCATCCGACTTTGCATCAAATTTACCCAAATTATCTTTTCCGTTATTGTGAACAAAACATTTGCAACCAAAGACTCGAAGATGGGAGAGGTTTGGCTTTCTTCCTTTGTATAATTCGTATGGGGTTTTCATGAGTATCGGTCTAATGACGGCTCGGTTTAACACGTAGCTCGCGGTACTCACGGCATCCGCCCAAAAATACTTAGGAATTTTTGCCTCATCAAGCATAGTTCTAGCCATCTCCTCNTCCTTACTCATGAGACATTTTGCAAATTCGGAGGGAGATTCATCTAAGTTAACCATGTAAATGTTATCAATTCTATCACCACGAAGAATCGTCTTATCGTCACTAAGACGTTCTACCGTACATGATTTGGAATCAAAGGTCACACGATTTCCCTTGTCATACAATTGACTTATGCTCAAGAGATTGTGTTTAAGACCCTTAACCAACAAAACATTATCAATAGAGGAGTTTTCGTTTTTACCAACTGAACCAATGCCGATTATCTTGCCTTTGCTATTATCGCCAAAGACAACGTTTCCTCCTTTAGTTGGTTTGATTTGCAAAAACTTGGATGCATCTCCGGTCATGTGCTTGGAGCATCCGCTATCAAGGTACCAAAGTACACTTGATGCCTTCAAGCACACCTACAAACCAATTTAAAAAGTTTTAGGTACCCAATTCCTTTTGCGGATCCAATCCCTGATTGGGCTCGGAGGATCATGGAGCAGCAGGAGACTATCATTCAGAGGATGACCGATATAGGACGGCAGCAGGCATCCCAGGCTGAGAGCTTTACTCAGCTTCGGAATACCTTCACGGTCTTCTATTCAGATGTGCACATTGGGCTCACCCCCGTTCTCTTGAGGGCGACGACCCCACTACCTCTTCTCCTCCTCCTCAGTGATCTTTATCTTATTCTCCTTTAAAACTTTTATTTCCTTTCATTTATGAGCAGGAATTGATGATCAACTGGATTTGTTGGAACTTCTTATTTTCCGCCGGTAACATTTACTTATGCACTTGCTTTATTTCTATTTTAATCAACTATTTTTGGATTATTGATGTGTGTAATTTCTTTTATTATTAATCAATCATCCCAACCCGGTATTATACTCCTAATCATTTTTTTCCCAACCGCGGGGACGCGGGTGTGTTCAAGTGTGAGGAGGAAACTTATCTGGTTGAAATGATTGAATGAAACGTGTTTTACATGTATACTTGTAGGCAAACTTTGGTTTTAACATAATCATCAGTCACACATTGAATAGTTAATCAATAGATTATCAAGCATATAAGCTGGAAATTTTCAAACTTTTGTCAAACCCCTGTTTTTTTACTCAATATTTTTTCAAATAGACTTCTACCATTGCTGAAATAAACTAGTATTTTCTTTAAAGTTTTTCTTGAGTCATATGATTTAATTTCCCTTAGAACTATTGATTTCACTAGAATTTTTGACTATATGTAAAGCTCTGCATGAAATGTCTATACTTTTAACCTTTAAATATGATTTTTGTTAAGATTGCGCTTAAGTAACGAATTGGAAATTCTATCTCCACGTTGGGGCTCTGCTTCTTCCGTTAACCGTACAAGGCGAGGAAGTAAGCATGCATGTAGAATAAATCCACAATCTTGGTGAAATAATTATGTTTCCGTGAAATGAGAATCTTCTCGTCGAGAAACAATACGAATAGAAGTTATTATATCAAGACCTTTACATTTTGGCAATTATTTTTGAACAATGGGTTTTATAAGAAATAGTTGAATCTTTTTTGTCTTAATAATTGTTTTAGGAAATACAGTCATTTCAATAACGGTTTACCTCTATTTGATTTAATCATGTAAAAGTACATATTTGGCAAAAACCTTGCATATTTCATGTGAAATGAGAGACAACTCTAATGTAACTATTTAACAAAGAGTGATGATTAGGTTAGTTGAATTTGCCTCATGACTATGCAATTAAAGCTCTTTTCAGCAATAATAAGGGAATGTCATATCCTCAATGGTCCAAGGTTGTTCCTTGAGGGAAAGCAATGTTAAAGTGTGAGGAATTTGATAAGCGTATTTTGTTCTTATTTTATTAAACATAATTTAAGCATTGTTGCACGAAAAATAGTGATAAACAGTGCATAATTTTATGTTAAACTGAACAATATCGGTTGGTTTGTTCTTTAAGGAATAATAATTGGTTTAAAATTAATCCAGTTTTGATTTTTGATTTTTCTACTTATATTTGTGAGAAAAAGAAGTTTTTCATTGAGAATTTTATCATGAGAATATCAGAGGAAACAGAAACAAGTTACGAAGACAATTGGAAATAGAAATTGGGCCTGAATTGGACCAAGCCGCGGAAAAGCCCACAGGAGAACGCCCGAGGCGTCCAACCTTGGACGCTTTGCTGGTGTGATGCTTCGGCTTGGACGCTTGTCGAGGATTGCGCGTCAAGACTGACACATGGCAGGCAGCGAATGGACAGGACGCGTATGGCGTCCAACATTGGACACTTTAGATCTGGACGGTATGGGTTGGACGATTTGCGTCCAATACTATAAGTACAGCGTCTCCTTCTTCGAATTCACACGCTGAATTGCGCCCCTCCATCTCAAGAGAGTCCGAATTGCTCCTCTTTTTAGCCTAGATTTAGAAGGTTACTCTCACATTTTAGTTTAGTCTCATTTTGGAGTTTTTCACGGAGCAATTTGTAGCCTCGACCTCCTGTTCTTCAGATTTGTTAAAGTAAGTTTTCTACTTTTATTTATCAATTGAAATATGCCTTCTTATTATGAATGTATGTTGAGAACTTTTGTTATGAGTAGTTAAATTAATTAGGGATGTAATTTATTGTAGGGTGATGGTAATTTTTCGGTAAATTTACTGAGTTGGAATCTTTTGTTGTCAAAAGCAAATTACTAGTTTTTATTATTGGAAAACTGTCTTTGAGATTTGTAAATCGAGAGAAAGCAAATCTACTCTTGAAGATTATATTCTTTGAGAAATCTGGAATTTAGTTAAGTCAAGTCTTGTAATTTTGATAATTAATCTCTAGACATTGGATTAGTTATTAAGTAAATATCTGAAAGAGTATTTACTTGCTAGTAAAAAGATTTAAGGTAAAAGTAACCCCAACTAATGTATATACCCTTAAAAGAGCTATCATCTAACCAATAATTACATCCCTACCTTTTATTCCTGAAAAGTTAAAATCAATCTCCACCCATTATTCGACTTTTTGAAATCTTTTTGGTTCAACAAGTAAATCTTGTCTAGCTAGTCTTGCTTAACTTTCCTTCGAGCCGATCTTTGAGACGACACGGGGATAAACTGATCTCTTAAGATCTAGTCTACTCCCTTTATTACTACGGGATTTTTTAGTTAAATCAAAATTCTTCATCAAAGCACACGATGGACCAAGTGTTGGATTTTTGGCTTTGTGCATGTATTGTTAGCCTTGGTATGCTTAATCTCATGTTTTGATGTTAACAAATAATTTAATTGAGCTAACGTTTGTTCAATTCTGTAGGAACGACAAAATCCACTGAAATGTGTTGATTGCGTCAATACGTTCGCTCACACAAGACGAGCATAGAATAACTTAGAGTCATTTATTGTTAAAGATATTTGAATGATATATCTCTAAGCTAAAGCTAAATTTTGCACACACCTAAAAATGATTTTTACTTAGGTATTTATTTTTAAAATACATTTGGTAAATATTTTCAAAAAAAATATTTTTTTAAAATATTTAACTAAAGTTATAGCTCTTCTCAATACGAGATCGCCGGTTCTTGAATTACTCAATTCTGATTAATATTGAAAAAGTTATTAACATTTTACCAAATTTATTTCAAAATTGCGCACTGGGTAACGAACGGTCTATGTGGTGAACCGTTTCTCCAGAACGGTCGACCGTTCTACTGACCGTTGGCGGAATCTGAACGTTACCCTGAACAGTCGACCATTTGGTCAGAAACGGTTGATGTGATAATCTGTTCGGAGACCAGATTCCTTATTTCTTGTCCTTTTCACTCCCAACGGTTGGATTATCTTAATTATATTATTAGGAGTTAATTATTCTTCTCTAACAGCTATTTTTCAATTTCAAACAACTCCTAATAATATAATCCATCCCTATAAATACCCAAACCATTTCAATGTTTTAATTAACCAAGCTTTGCTCAAATCTCTTAATTCTTTCTTCTTGTGTTCATAAAAATCTCTTATTTTTATTAGGCTATTAAGAGCCATTTCTTCAATATATTTTCTTGAACAAACATTGAGCTTGATCCAAAGAGATACACATTCTTATTATCTATAAGAGAGTTGTAATTGTTAGAGTGTATAGAAATCATCACACCAACCCAACCTTGTATTTCATATTCTTGAGGTGGTGTTGATTCATATTATTCAAACTTCTATATTTCTTGTAATCGGTCGAAGATATCCGTTGCAAAATCTTCATTGAACGGTTGGAGATAGCCGTGGTGAAATCTCCGTAAGCGGTCAAGGACATCGGTGAAATCCTTGTTTAGACGGTTGGAGATAGTCGTTGCAAAATCTCTAGGTTGAAGACATCCTGCAAATCTTCGGTGCACGGTTGGGGATAGCCGTTGGAAAATCCTCAAAACTAGTTAGATACTTCAAGGGGTGAAGTATTGTCGATCTAGTGTAAACCTATTGGCAAAGGTTTGTTTGCCAAAAACTGGTTCCATCGTGACGATCGTGTTTAGACGGTCAAGGCGTTCTAGTGGATTGAAAATCCTTAAGGAGGAGCCTTAAGGTACTGGAGTAGGGAGTTCCCGAACCAGTACAAAATCGGTATGCATTTTCTTTATGCTTTTATTTTTTGCATTTTATATATTGCTTCTGCATTTGCCAACACCGTTTTTTGTTAAACTCCGAAAATTTTTCAAACGCCTTATTCACCCCCCCCCCTCTAAGGCGTGGGCACAACGAATAAACTGACTAACATGTATAACTCAACCATACCTATTGGAGTGGTGCTACAATTAGAAAATTGTTTATAAAGTGTCTACAATAAGTGAAACAATCATCTATGAGTCTTATTTTGATAAGAATGCTTTTCGGTTTTCTGTTAAGGGACAAATGTTGCTCTTCAAACTGAGATGATGATCTTGTTGACCAATAGATCATACATCTTGAACGTACGAGATATAACATAAATACCAAGAGAGTTTTTAGTATGAAATTATTCAATAAGATTGAGAAAGATAATCCCAAATCAAAAGTTTAATGAAGAATCATAAAGAGCTTAGGATATTCGCTCCACTATGACAAGTCATAATACTCTAATAAATCTTTCTAAGCATATTCATTTTTCAACTTATGCTACTAACCTAGTTCCATTCAAAGAGGGCTATGCCTTAGATGTCCTACTTAAAGAATTGCACAATGAGGCTTTTAGAAGTCTCACAAGCTAAAATGCCAATTCTGTTTTATCACATATTAGAGAACAAAGTGTTGAAACTCATAATAGAGTGTTCTTAAAGAAGAAATTCCTCTTCCTAAATGTCAGTGGGAGGAAGATAGATCTTGAAGGAGTTCAAGATTAAAAGGATATTGCCTTTCTAAGAATGGAACATGAGCAAGAGATACAATATGTTGAGCCTCAAGATTGCTCAAATAACACAAGTATAGATTTGGTTTGTATGAATACTATACAATTCGGTTTTTGGCTCATAACATGAGATGAGTCAATGACCAATCTTATGAGCATCAAATCCAAGAAGTGGCAACCAGCTACACTACGCCAAAAATAGCATCAGACAACTGTTGATTAACTACTCTTTATGCAAACACAGTAGTTGAAAAAAACAGACTACTGTAAGTTTTTCTTGGCAACAGAACGGTAGTCTAGCTGCTATGCTTTAAATTTTTTTTTTAAAGTTTCGAGAAACGGTAATGTATCATTAGTTGTCTGTCTCAGTTCAAAATACAGTTTTTCTTACAACAGTTGTCAATAACAAGTTAAGAATACTCTATTTAAACAATAGTCTGGGTTTTTATTCTATAACTGTTTTTAAACTTATTAGAAACAGTTATCTATTGTTTGTTGTCTGTTTCATATGGTTTTTTTGCCACTGTTGTTTATAATAGGAATAAAAGACTCTTTTGTAACAATAATCTATGAATTATGGGTAGAACTGTTTTTGAAGTTGTGAGAAACGGTCATCTATTATTAGTAGTCGATTTCGTAAAAAAATACAGTTTTTATTGCCACAGTTGTCAATAATTAGTTAAGACTACTATTTCCTATCAGAAGTCCGGTTTCCCAGTGTATAACTGCTTTTAAACTTATAAGAAATAGTATTGTATTACAAGTAGTGTGTGTCACACTGTTTTTTTCACGGTTATCTATAATAAGTAAAGAAAACTGTTTTTAAGAGAATTCTGCATATTAAGCTTAGGACTATTTTAAAAGTTAAGAATACTCGTTTTAAATAGTAGTCTAGCTCTTAAGCCTAAAACTATTTTAAGAGTTTGGACAAATGGTAATCTTTTTTACAATGAAAATGTATACGCTCTCTAACTTTACATTCATACTTTCGGGCAAAATTTATACAAAAATCAAATAACCGTTGTTCCAAACAATTATATGGACATGAAAAAATAAACACTTCCATTGAAACAAAAGAAAAAGTACATGGATAGGGTGGGAACTGTTCCGCTACACACAAAGAGAATTGGGAACCATATAATCAATTAATCTCACATCATAAAACCAAAAAACAATGAGAAGATGGCGAGATGCAAATAAGAGTACACAAAATTTATTAAAATCAAAATTAAGAGTACATTGACTTTCTTCAATCCAAAGTAGAAAACAAACAAAATACAAAGAATGAAACTCCATATTCTAAAATTACTCAAATTAAAGAATAAAGACCAAATCTTCAAGGTAGGAGTGCCAATTACAAAGAGCTTGGTTTTTAGCCATGGTTTTACTCTCCCTAATGAGTTAAGCTTGACCCTTTGCCTTTGTGGAAGAGAGAACTACATCATCACCCCTCTTAGTCCTTGCACTGCTGGTTGCTTGGCCTCCTGGCTTTGGCATGGCAGCATCACCATAACCATCCACAATAGATTCATCACTTTTAAAAGCCTTCTTTTTCTTCTTTTGTTTATTACCCGCTGCTAGTGGCATGGCAGTAGGTCCAGTTTGACCACCCTCAGCTGTACTCAAACATATAACACTGGTGTTGGCTGTCTGACTTGAAGTGGTGGCTTGAGCTACTGGATTTGGCATGGCAGTAGCACTACCAGGGGCCTTTGGGCCATCTCCATTTTTGAGTCCCCTCAACAAAACAACGAAGAATGAATAGTAAGGAAGAACGTGAACAGTGTAACGAAACAACCAATTCCAGGGAATCTAGTATTGATTATATGAATCAGAAATCTAAAAATAAATAGTGAATGGATCCTAAAAACTAACCAATAACCATAGAAAGTGGAGAAAACACAAACAAGAAACTTGGTTAAAACTGGACTGCAATGCTACACTGTAAACTATGCACTGAATCCTAGAATTTGCTCGTTTCAGAGGAATCTTTGACCGGAATGGAAAGAAAACTTCATACCTTGAAAGAGCATTCCAATCCGCTCAAAATACCCCACAAATTGGATATCAATTGATCTCGAATCAAGGTTGACTCAAACCTTCAGCTCCAAAAAAAACAGCCCAGGTAGTGACCAAGATAGTGAGAAACACTCCATTTTGCCCAATTGCAGGAGGTGTCTCGTCCCCCTATCTTCATGCCCCTGTCCAGACTATGGCTTTCCAAAGCATCATAGCAAACAATTCCAACACACACTCAAAACCCACCCCAAACCAAAACAAGTCAAGCACTCTAATCCCA